TGTAAATACTGGATTTTCTGGATTATAAATCACTCTATTATATATAAATTGGCATCTTGAAGATAAAAAAAAGTCATATGCAAGTTGTTCTGGACTATAAGTCATAGGATCAGCCAAACTATGAGAAAAAAAATGCCACTTAGTCTGGAAAATACAATATTAATAAAACTGATCATTTGGAAATTTATGCTCAAACTTGAAATATTTTTAAAAATGCATCTACATTTGTTCTAAAACTGCTGAGAAGCAGGTGTTTCTGTATCTGTCTTTGAGGTCATTTACAACTACAAAGCTAACTTTTATTTTGAAAGCTAATAAAATGATCAAACTACAAGCAGACTTCATTTATCTACATCTTTTCTAGTTATGGTGACCACTTACTAATGCACACATTCATCCAGATCGGTCGACAGCTTGTGGTTTAGTGCTCAGAGCTGCATCAACGTGCAAGAAGGAAATCTGACCCAAAACCTTTGGATTACAACATCACTATTATTGCCCCAACATGGTGAGATCGAAGCACTCAGCAATATTTGTCTCAGGAACACTAGTTGATTCGGTTCATTATGAGAACATTTTTGACTGAACAAAAAAATATTTTTTCTTCATGAACAAATCATGAACTTTCTCCAGCTGGACAGAAACAAAACTGAAGTTAATATTTTTGGAACGACCTGGAGTCAGCATACAGCTTCTGTTACAGCTGGAAACTAGAGATCTGACTGAAATCTGGGTGTAGTGATGCGACCTGCACCTTCAGACAAACAAAGACAGTTACAAAGTCAGCCTTCCATTACTTGAAGAACATCTCCAAGATTAGAGCTAATGTACCAGCAATATCTACAGAAACTCATTCATGTCTGTCTTTTATTGCATTGATTACTGCGACAGTGTCTTCACAGCTCTGAATAGGTCGTATCGTTTTAAACAAGAGAATTCAACTGCTTAGGGACTGTTTGGCCAGAGGGGGCAGCACTGAGACTGTTTTCGGCACAACACTGACAAACTAAATAAATTTATACAAAAACGTAAACATTCTCACAGAAACATAAAGAAACACAAAGTGTGGGTTAGTTACACTTTAAAAAAAGTATACTGTTGTTAGTTTATAAATCACTGAATGTCTTAGCACCAAAATACATCAAAGATCTGCTGGTGTTGTTTGAACCTTCCAGATCTCTCAGGTCTTCTGGTTCTGGTTCTGCTCTGCGTCCAGAGCCAGAACCAAACCTGGAGAAGCAGCATTCAGCTTCTACGCACCACAAATCTGGAACAAACTTCCAGAAAACTGCAAAGAAAAACACTGATCTCAAAGCTAAACACCCACCTGGTGAGAATTGCCTTTGATTTGTAGTGAGTGAAAGATTGATCAGCATTTGATGTGTATTTGCTTGATGATGTTGATGACAGCATTTGACAAAATCTAATGTCTGTTGCTTGTTTCAGGATTGGTTACTGTATTATGATTTTACACATTGAACTGTGCTGCTGAAATGCTTTTCAAATAAACTTAAGTTCTTGTTTCTGAAAACTAAAATATAAAAGACTTAAATAAAAACAACAAAAAACCCCAACATGTTTTCCTTATTTCTCTTAGTATTGCTTTAAATCACATTTGTGTTACTTTATTCTTCCTGAAATATTATAAATATATAAATCAGTCCCTCTTTATATTTTCAGGTTTCCTGTGCCCCTTCTAGCTGTACTCTGTTGAACCTTCTTTGACAATCTAATTTCTATGTTGTCATTTTCAGCCTAAAATAAAGGCGATTATATAAAACTCCCTCATGTAGCTGTAGTATATGTCCAATTTCCTCATGTCTGAGGTTTACAGGGTGAAAATTTGAGAAACCAGCAGACCTGAAGCCCTCAATGAGCCACAGGCTGACTGCACTGCCTTCGCTCAGCTTTGAAGCTGGAGTTAAATCAAGGTTAAAGCGTTTATCTGCTGCTCACTTTCTTTCAGTGTAAAACGATCAGAGAGCAGATAGAGATGAGAAAAAAAGAGACTTCTATTCTTCAGGATTTGGATTATGGGGGAAAAGGAGCGACAAACCATATCTCTACAGTGTTGTGTATCTTCAGACATCTCTGAGGTTTTAGGATTTAAAGAAATAATTTAGAGGAAAGCAGAAACAAGAAGAAAGAATCATGACAGAGTAATTTTAAGCAGAGCAGTCCACTAGTTGTAGAACCCAGCCTGAGCTATTGATCAAGGTCAAGTCAGGGTGCAGCGGATAATGAGGCCTGTTTAGTTCTCTGTATTCGTTTGCCTAAAAACTCTGTGTTTACATTTCATGAAGAAGGAAGTTGCGCTCATGTCTTCTTCAGAGGTTTTTGTGTCATGTCCTTGGGTGGTTCTTGGTGCAGCGCCACCACAGGTGAGGAGGGGAACAGCTTTTTCAATTAGTTTAGTTCGTTTGACTCTGCAGTGTGAAAGCGAACCAACCACTGACTGAAGACTGATTAAGAATGCTTTTTAAAGCTCAGTCAGTGTGAAGAAATGAGGAATGTTCCAACACTTTTCTGTCAGTAACACATGTACCCTGGAGTGAAGCTTCCTGTTTGTTAGTTTAAAGCTCTGGCTGTGTGAGCATGCATGCATACGGCTGTATGTAATTACACTGAGAGTAATGAGAACTCCAGGACTCTCATCCCGACCCCCTCTGGAAGCGCCTCGGGGTGTGGGTCCCTCTGGTGCCGGGTAAGTACCAGAAGACAGATTTGGTTTCTAAAGCAATGCGGCGGAAGTCAGATGTTTAAAGAGAAAGATGTGTTTCTAGCCCTCCGCCCTCCTCCACCTGCATCACTTTTCTCCTCCTTTTTTTCCCCAAACTTTGTCTCCGTCTGCATCTTTCCGCACTACCTCTCTGATTTCTCGCCTTGTTTTGCCTCCCACTGCTTCTCTGCCTGTTTATCTTTTCCAGCGTTTTTCGTCCCGACATACTTATGCTTCATACGGAGGCCAGTCACCCGGCTCTCTTTTCTTTCAGAGATCTGAGCTAACCGTGAAAACTCATCTTCTCCTGCAGCTCTGTTCTAACACTCTTAGTTTCTCTCTGTCTCTGTAGTGTTTTTTTTTACTGTTGAACTTTGACTCACACCGGCCTGTTCTCTCTGTTCGCCAGATGGAGAGCAAGATGCGGCATGAAAAGAAGTTGCACCCTCATGCATATTTAAAGCAGCAGCTACTTTGTTTTACCGTAAAAAAGCTCTTAAACCCATTTGACTTTTTCACATTTTATCTTGTTTTAACCAAAAACTTGTATTTTATCTGAATCGTGTCATAAATCAGCTCAACGTAATGCATTAATGTAGCGTTTTCTTTTCCAAGACTATTCAGCAGGTATGGAAGAGACTCGGTTAGGTAAAAAATAATCCCATCAGGAATAAAATCTTGTCTACAACTCACAATTATCCACTTAATTGTTTTGGTTGCATAAAACCTCCGGTGTTTCTTCCACTTTGGGCTCTGAGCGGCCTTCGGCCCCGCGCCTCCTTCCTCCTCACGCTGTCTGCAGATGGATTCACTGATTGTTCAGGCGCCTCTCTTCCTCTCTGCTCAGGCCCAGCTCTTCCACATTACCTAAATTAAGCTTCTGACGAGCTTTCGCAGATAACTCCACAAGCGCGTTTAAAGTCTTAATTACCTTGGAAGCCCCTTTGCATCTCCAAATATTTATCAGGCCAGCAACGCGGCGCCAGCTCCGGAGCCTGAGGGCCACGCCTCGTTAACAGAACCGCGAAGAGGGATCTGATACGTCCCAGGTAACTGGAGCAGACGGGGGTTTATATTTAGCGAGCCCGGGCCGAGCGTGAAAAATAAAGCGCCGCTTTAGGGAGAACGCACCGCGAAAGCTGCAGAGCTCCTGAATGCATCACGGTGTTTATTATAGTCCGTCTCTCACAGAGAAACGGGTTGGACTCATTAAAATGAGCCAAAAATATAAACTAACACAGGCTAATATAGCTTGGACATGAGGCGGCTACATGTGAATGCTTCAGTTCAATTCAATAATATTTCACAAAATTAGATAAAATATATTGGATAATGGATTAGAAAGAATGTTTTACATATTTAAAGAATCAGTTTTGGATAATAATAGTGTGATAACCAGATAATTAGCAGAGATTGAACTTCATGTGTTATTTAATTTTCTCCTAATGGATTTTATAACCCAGAGCAAAGGCAATAATAAGACAATCTCAAACATTAATAAAGGTCAGCCAGTGTTTTGATCCAAGGTGACGCCGTGCATATTTAACGGTTATTGATGGATTTTTGTTTCCAGGAATCAACTTTTGATAGTTTCTCTGAAAATGATGAATTTAAGCTTCAGCTACATGAAGCTCCCATGGTGCCGCTACGTCTAACAAACGTTAAAATGCATATTATTCTGGGGAATAACCTGGATTTTAAGAAGAAGAAAAAAAAAGGTTTTAAAAACATAAAATCAAAACATTTTATTTTATGGTTCATAAAGTCAAAATGTTTGTAATCTTATGACTTTATTCTCTAAATATTTTGAGTTAATACTCGTACAAATTTATTATCATAATTTTATGACTTTATTCTGGTAATTTTATTTTACTATTTTACTCCGTCATAATAAAAAAGACATTTTATTTGACTGTTTTATTATTATTATTATTATTATTATTATTATTATTATTATTATTATTATTATTATTATTATTATGTCTTTACCATAGTGAATGAATTTCTCTTTATTCAGTGCAGGAAATGTCAAGAAAAAAATATATGAACTTCCCAACTCCAATCTTTCCAGAGGAACTTACTAACTTAACTGTTTGACCTCTTTCAGACAACAGAAAGTAAAACCTGGCTCGCCTCCAGGAGGCAGAAACCATCTCTGGCAACTGTGACATGACAGACTTCTTTTCGTAAACAAAGAACCCCTTTTTTATTTATTTTTTTGGTCTACCTCATGCAGCAGCAAAGACAAACTAAGAGGGAAGGAAAAAAGCGAGAGCTGTACCTTTCTTCTGCAGTATTGCGCTCCCGCTGCGCTTCCCCATCCGGTTCGCTACGTGGCAGGTGTAATTGGCCAGATCTGCCTCCTCCACGGCGTCAAACGTCAGCGACACCTGCACTTCCTTCTCGCCTAAATGTTCCCTCAAGATCCTGCAAAGACAAAAACGGAGCACAGATTCAATTCCCATCGGAAACCTCTCCGCTTGAAGCTGCTGATAAGGCTGACCAGATCTGAGCCGCCAGCTGGGAACAAGGACTAGTTTACGTGGGACAATAAGTTTATAAAACCACCATATCACACACCGAACATCAGGAACGTAGAGGTACTGAATGGTGGAGAAAAGTGAAGGAAAAAATGTTCACCCACAAAGTTCTTAAGACTTTTCTGTTCAAAAAACATTCCAGAAGTCTGGCTCTTTCTCTAGCTGCACTCTATCGCAAACTTCAGTCTGACGTTCCTGGTTTTCCTAGACAGCATCTGTTTCCTTGTTCACCTTCCATCAAAGGTGAACTTGTGGACTCTCTTTCTGATTGAACAAGAGTCTGATGAAGCCCTGTGACGATGTTTTAGTGTTTTGTAGTGTTTAACCCTTCAGGCTGATCCTGCTTGAACAGCCAGATCTTGGCGTTTTGTCAGCCGTTTTCAATGTCCTCTACTTTAGGAGGGATTTTTAAAGCAGTGCAACAAGATAAAATGGAGGAAAACATGATGCATTGTTTTCTAATTCTTCCACACACAAAAAAATATGAAAAGTTTCATTTATTTATTGAACATCGACTGTTGGCGAGAATTTTTCAAGAACTTAAGGATCAGGCAAGGTTTGATTTTCATCTTCTGTTCATGTAATGAAGGTTGTGTTTTTTGCCCAAACATATTTTTTTTCTTATCCACATGTTCACCTTCCTCATTTCAGTCCCATAAAACATGGTATGATAGTAAGGGGAAAAGAACTGGATGGAAGATAAATAAATAATACCATGAAGATCCCAATAATAAAGGCTACAAAAAAAAAAAAAAAAAAAAAAAATCACATGTGGCCTAAAACTTTTGCACAATACTCTAAGTAACTGTAAGCAAGATGAGCATTGGAAACAAAGAGTCATTAAAGCTTTAACACAGAATCATGAAAGTTAAATGCCACCTGAAGATAGAAAAGATCCACAATTTTAGTTTGTTTTTGGCGTGTTGGTATGAATTTCTTCCATTTTAACCAAGTATTTTGGTACCAAGCAGAATTTCTGAGGTAAAACTCCCAGAGCAGAATCCCAACTTGTTTTAAAAAACAAGCAGTAATGCCACAGAAGTTTTTTTCCTCCCTCCTCAGTACAGTGTCTGTTGGTTAAAGTCGGAATATGAACCTGCCAGCTTCTGAGACACACATTCCTCAGACCCCATGGGAGTTGTTGCAAAGTGCAACCATGACAAGCACAGAGGCTTGTGTAGTATTTTTCATGTACTCCTTTTCATTATTCTCAATAAAAAAAAAAACTTTATTTCTCACTTAAGACTTTAATTCCAGTGTCCCGAGGCTAAGAGGTCTGAGACACATTCAGTGGGAGTATTATAGCAATAGGCGAATGCTTCAGTTCAGTTCAATTACAATTAGAAAATAGTTTGGGAAATAAACTCCCGGCCCTTTAAGTGTTCATGCCGTCTTCCATTGTCAGCAATGGAGGAGATCAAAAGTAGTTGAAGTAGGAGGTAAGATGAAAGTTACTGATCCATGCATCCAAACATGAAATGCATTAGTTGCGTTTCCATGGGCCGCGTAATTGCGCAATTGGAGATAAAAAATAAAATAAAATAAAAAAAATTGCTTAACGGAAATATACCAATTTTGAAAATTTTAAATGGTTTTATTTCTCAAAACTGCAATGAAAACACTTTTTTTCTCACATGATGAACAACCGGATGTTGCCACTGGCACAAAGCATGAAGAAGAAATCGACAGGAAGTAGTTGGAGGACGATGGCGCGGCATGTTTATTAATGGCTTATCGTCGTGCGAACTAACTTATTCACGTGTGATTTTAATTGCGTTTCTTATTTGTGGAAACACAGCAATTGCGAAATTGTGTTTTTTCGACATTGCCGGGAACATCGACAAAGTTTTGCGCGCCTTTGTAATGGAAATCCAGCTAATCTCTCCAGCTAATCTCTCCAGCTAATCTCTCCAGACAGTTCGGTGTGTCTAAGCAGAGATACATCTAAAGGTTGCAGGACACCAAACCTCAAGGACTGGATTTGAAGAACCCTGATATAGAGGAATATTATTTAAACTGTCTGCACTAGCAGAGCCATTCTGTTGGTTACAATTATAGTAGAGTATTGTTCTTTGAAGCCGAACCTGTACTGCATCCAAATGACTTTAAACTACCCCAATCTACCAGTGCATGTCTCCCTCAGTGACAAGACTCAGAGATTCCTCAACTCCTCCAGCTGAGTATTCCTAAACTCAAAAGTAGGTCCAGTAGATTATTTTCTTCACTATCACTTCACACCAGTATTAAAAACAAAAATTCTCACCAAATACAAACAGTCCTTTTCCCTAACCGGGACTCTACCTGAGTCCAGAGGTACTGACCTCTTGTGGCCGTTCCTTATAAAACTTCATCACCTGTCTTTCAAAAATGACCCGACTTCTAGTGCTTGTTCTGCCAACCAGTAAGCACTACAAGCCACTTCACCTGTGTTTTAGCATTCATTGAGTACATTAAAACTTTGTGAACTTCCTAATCTCAACTACATCTAGGCTTAACTGTGCTGCTGATCGTAAATGGACTCTCTAGGGTAGTTATCCTGAGTTTGAAAGTGTGGAGCTCACACTTTTCCATGACAATTTTTGTCTTTAATTGCCTACTTCAAAGCTATTAGGGGTACAGCCAGGCACCCGCAGTCGGTAGTGAGAGTTCTGTACATTTAAAAGGACAGTTTCACACACAACGGAGCGAGTCGAGTAAGGTTCACCTTCAAATTGGATCTCTGATCTTTTTGTTGGTGTAGATTCTCAATCCTCCATGACTTGACGATTCTAAGTGCTTAAATTAGAAGACAACCGGACAAGACGAAAAGTCCTGTTACCTTCTTTTTGACCATTTACAATTTCTCCTTTTTTATTTAGTGTTCCTTGAAACTGTATGAATATAGTAAAAGCACTCATGTTTCTCAGTGTGTACTACATATTTCAAATTTACAAACATACATATTTCCATTTCAAATATGTGCAAAACCTTGTTGATAATCTGCTACTTTTGAAAAAACTGAATTTCACAATTGCAGTGTGTCAATTAAATAAGAAACACAATTAAAAGTCATTAAAAAACGTGCTGCACCATCATCCTCTAACTACTTCCTGTCTTCTTCTTCATGGTTTGCACCAGTGGGAACAGCTGGTTGTTGATCACGTGACTCGTCTGATGCAAAAAAAAAAAAATAATTCTGTGCAGCTTAGTGAAATAAACCAATTTGATACAACCACATCAAACCACCTCATCATAGGATCAAAACTTTTTATCAAAAAAGTTTTTTTTTTCAAAAATTGCCACGTTTCTATTAGGGGAATTCATTTTCTAAATTTCATAATTGTATGGTAAATGGAAACACAGCTAATGTAAATGTTGGAAAATGTCCAAATTGGAAATAATTTAACACACATGCAGACAAACGAGTATTAGTATGCCTTTCTTTCAACTTGCAGATGGTACGGTTGCCACCAGCGACCATCAGGTGGTGACATTAAGAGCTGCTAATGTGTCACAGCCAGCCGCTGATTGAGATACCAACTCAAAAGAAAAGGAAAGTGTCTTCTTGAGACAAAGAAGACGCCTTAAAGTTACATTAGTCACCACTCAGCAATTGACAAGGATTGATCAGGGTTGCATTGAGCCTTTAGATGTAGCGTTTACTCTTCTCTATACTCCCAACACTGGATCGCTTGGGCTTGTCTTTAGCTAACCCAGAAGATCAAAAGTTAAGCAGTGCCATTTTAAAATCAGTGCAGAAGAAGAAGGTGATCTAGTGAAGGGAAGATATCTTTGGGGGAATGAGTCCATGTTGGTTTTTTGTGCCCATTAAAAGCAATCAGACCAAGAAAAGACCGAATGGTTGGATCAAACTATTATCTATGATTCAGAATGTTCCAACCCCAAACATTTAAAAAAAAAAAGTTTCAATAACTAATCTAAAGTAGGTTAAAAACAACCAACTCCAGTACATTCCAAATAAAAGATACTGGCTGGTTGAAACTTGTTGGGAATTTAGAAACAAAATTTCAGCTCAATGTCTGTGCCATCTCTCTTGAATGTTCTGTGGCCTAAAGCGACTTCTGATCAGGGGAAAATGAAGACAGGCCAAAAAAAAAAGAGTTGGAAAGGAATAAAAAAAGTATGCAAGGGGGAAAAAAATCAATCGACGCATTGAAATAAAGATATTATGAATTCATTGCACATGAAGGGACTCCGAACTACGAACGCTGAGTTGCAGAAATGCTAAGTAGCTGGACGGCTGAGCCGTGCCCTGTCGACAGCAGCTCAGAAACTGATGATACTGCTCATATTTGCCATGTTTACTGTGCTTTTAGCATATTTTGATCCCAAACATTTCAATTATTTACAAGACAAGTTGACTTTTCCCAAGGAAAGATGCATGCCTTCAGAAGAAGGTGGAGTGCAGAGAAAAACTCAAACCGCTGCCTTTCAGAGGAATGACTTAGTTATGCATCTCACAAACTGAGAAAAAGCAAACATAACCCAACCTCTAACATGTGCAATAATGAAGACTAAATCAGTGTTCTACACTTCATGGTTGTAATAATACAGCTAATCTTTGTACATTAGACAATTGTTGTTCATCGAATTGTTTCTCAGGAGAAATAGTTTCAATGCACTCTACGGGTACCACACATTCGTTTCCATGGCTGCATGGACACTATCAACAAACTCCTGTCAGAATCATGGGGGAGCTGAAAGCTGACAGATTAATATGCGTCACAGCGGGGCTCCGTCCGCCACGGCGCGATTGTTGGATCTGGAATGGCAGCGTGATCTGATCAGAGGCGGTCATAAAGCTGAAATGAAAGATACAGAAGTCATCTGGCAAACAGTGTTTTATTACCACGGGGAAGGATTAGTTTCACGTTCACCGCCGACCCTCAATATTTACATCTCTGTTTTCACAGAGACAAATATCATCAAAGGGCATTAGCTTAGCAGTCACAGACACCATCCTGAAGGCGGAGGGGCTCTTGCGTCCAGCCTGAACCAAACTGAGATGGTGAAGTTAAAATTTAGTTTTTCTCAACCTCACAATAAAACAAAACTGTTTGAAAAAAGTAATTACTTCCTAAGAGCTCTAGTGCTTATGGTCATATACTGATGGATATTCTT